TCTGTCTCTGTTCTAGTTGTTTGCTTAGTTTGTTTTCATTTTCATTTTGTTTTTTAGGTTCAGTTGTTGATAGCTGTGAGTGTGTTGTCATTTTACTGCTCATAGTTTTAATCTTATTCTTTTTTTTTTTTTTAGGTAAGTCCCTTTAACATATCATACAATAAGGGCTTGGTGATGATGGACTCCTTTAACTTTACCTTATCTGAGAAGCATTTTATCTGACCTTCCATTCTAAGTGATAGCTTTGCTGGATAGAGGAATCTTGGTTGTAGCTCCTTGCCTTTCATGACTTTGAATACTTCTTTCCAGCCCCTCTTGCCTGTAAGGTTTCTTTTGAGAACTGAGCCGATAGTCTTATGCGTACTCCTTTGTAGGTAACTGTCTCCTTTTCTCTTGCCGCTTTTAAGATGCTCTCCTTATCTTTAATCCTGGGTAATGTAATTATGATGTGCCTTGCTGTGTGTTTCCTTGGGTCCAATTTCTTTGGGACTCTCTCAGATTCCTGGATCTCTTGGAAGTCTATTTCTTTTGCCAGATTGGGTAAGTACTCCATTATTTTTTCAAATAAGTTTTCCATTTCTTGTTCTTCCTTGTCTCCTTCTGGCACCCCTGTGATTCTGATGTTGGAATGTTTAAAGTTGTCCCAGAGGTTCCTAAGCCTCTCTTCATTTTTTTTGAATTCTTCTTTCTTCATTCTGTTCCAGTTGAATGCTTAATTCTTCCTTCTGCTCCAAATCGTTGATTTGAGTCCCAGTTTCCTTCCCTTCACTGTTGGTTCTCTGCATATTTTTCTTTATTTCACTTTGAATAGCCTTCACATTTTCCTCTGTTTTGTGACCCTACTCAGCCATTTCTGTGAGCATCCTGATTACCAGAGTTTTGAACTCTGCATCTGATAGGTAGGCTATTTCTTCATTGTTTAGTTGTATTTTTTCTGGAGTTTGATCTGTTCTTTCATTTGGGCCATATTTCTTTGTCTTGGTTCTCCTGTCATGTTTTAAGGAGCGGGAGCCTTAGGTATTTGCCAGGGCCAGGCAGCCCAGGTCACTGTGTTGTAGTGCTATATGTCAAGGAGGGTTCGGAATGGGAGTAATGCCACTTGCTTGGCTCTTGGCTGGCTTCCAGTCGCTTCCCCCTCTACCCACAAGCAAATTGGGCCCTTATGGGCTGATTCCCAGGTGGCTGGGTTTATGTACGTCCTAGGACTTCATAGGTCTCTCTCATAAACTCTCCTGCGAGGCTGGGAGTTTCTTCTGCCTCTGCAACCCCCACAGATTTTCACAGCGAGAGGTTTTGAGGCTTTCTTTTCCCATGCTGGAACCTTGGGTTGTGTGGTCTGCCTTGCTCCCCAGTTGTTCTTCCCAGTTATCCACATGCATATGTAGGACCGCCCAGTCTGCCAGCTGCTGCCTCACCTGTTTCTCCAGCCTCTGCCTTGCCGCTCGTCCTCTCCACCCTAGCTAATTGACTGTTTCTTCTTTAATTCCTTGGTTGTCAGACTTCCATACAGTTTGATTTTCTGGCAGTTATGGTTGCTTTTTGTTTTTAAACTTGTTGTCCTTTTGGCTGTGCGAGGAGGCAAAGTGTCTCTACCTATGCCCCCATCTTGGCTGGAAGGCCTCATAGTCAATATCTGAATTACCAGAATGATGGCTGATGTTCTAATGATTTTAGTCTATAGTTAATTGACTCTAAATCTTCAGAGACAATCTTAAGGATAAAGATAATGATGACGATGATGATGATGGTAATGATAATGGTGATAATAATGATGATGATGATGATGGTGGTGGTGATGCTGATGGTAGTGAAAATAGCCATCACTTATGAGGCACCTGTGTGTCCCATGGCCTGTGGTGGGCCCTTTGCATACAGAGCAATCATCATTCCTCCTTATGTATATGAGGCACAACTACAAATGTGTACAAAAATTTAATAATCCATTTGTATGGCGGGGTAAGATAACTTTTGTATACAATCTTTAATTAAACACTATTTTTTCAAGAACTATCTTCAGCCATATATTTGTGGCATTTTCATGCTTGTTCTTCCATTTTTTTCTTTCCTTTAACAGTCAAGCAACAGGCAGTCAACTAAGGCCAAAGATCTTCCAGCTCAAGTTAAAGATCTGTGCTGGGTAGCTTTTATAATTTTATCTTCTTTTCTCTCTTTGGCTCAATTTTATTTGGTTTATGAGGTTGTGCTCCTTTAGAAGTAGGATCAGCACTTCTTTCTGCTTGGTTTTATACAGTAATCACAATACTGCAATAAAATATTAAAGTCCTTGGCACAAACACTGCTGCACAGAGTGAGAGGGGACCCTCCTGGAGAGGAGCTGTTTGCCACGAGGCATCATCATGCAGATGTTAAGATGACCCTGCATCAGCTGGTGTACAAAATTCCGGTGTCACATAGAAGAAGCCATGCGCAGGCTTCAGTGTAACTGCCCCAAAATAGTTTGTCCCAGAGACAGATATGTGAAAACCAGAAGTATCAGCATTATTCTTACGTTCATTTGTCTGATAGGATATTGTAGTTTAGCAGTAAAGTAACTCACCCCAAGTCACACAGGCAATAAGAAGCAAAGCTGGGTTATGAGCCAAGGTGGAATCTAGCACCTGCATTTACTAACATGAAGTGATGTTTATTGAGCACTTACTATGTGCTAAACACTGTTGTAAGCACTGTTTGTCTTTAACTCACTTAATCCTAACAACAACCCTGGGAGGAGTGCTTCCATTTTACAGATGAGGAAATTAAGATACAGAAAGATCCAGTGATGCACCTGTGATCTCCCAGCTACAAGGAGCCAGACTTTGAACCTGGAGGGCCCCCAAGACTTTTTCTCTCTTAAGTGCCTCTCAAGATGCATCAGCCTGCCAAGAACAGACCTTCAGTATAAAGAGCTCTTCTTCTCAGATAAGGACTGGGGATGTGGCCAAGGAGGACCAAGGGCCCTGGGCGGAGGCAGGGGTTGTCCATTGCAGGAGCTGGTGTTCTCCTGCAGGGAAAGGCTTGTGTTTGAGAAGCCAGTCTTGCAGCACAAAGACATTCAAGACAGCCTGAGCTGCTTTTCAGGAGCATTGCTCTGAGAAACCTCTTCAGAAAGTGCTTTTCATGCTCATCCCATTCTCATGAGAGCTGTCAGGCCTCAAACAGCTGAATCAGAAATTTAATGCAGCAGGAGTGCTGTGTGGGTCTCTACAGATTTAACTCAAATAGTATTTCTGCTTTGGCTGCTAAAGCACTAAATGGAGATCACTGACCCCTCCGCATAGAAAAAGGAACAAGGGTTTGGAAGCTGGGACATCCTAGATCAACTTAGGGCTTTGCTACCAATGCCCTGTGTGACCTGGGGCAAGTTACTTAACCTCTATGAGCCTCAGGCTTCTTTGTATATTAAGGGTGATGAATTAGGATTTCTCTAGGTTTCTACTGTCTTCAACATTCAGGATCCTGTACCACATACTGAAGGAAACCCATGTCATAAACCGGTTTGAGCTCTGTTAGGCACATTGGGTTTTGGACCTGTATGACTGAGACCCCAATGGCCAGAATCCTGAGGTAAAAAACAGTACCCTGCAGGGGAGCCTAGTAAAGTCTCTAACTCTAGTAGTGATTGTATAGTCACCTAAATGGGCCTCAGTATCTGATCATTTCCATGGAACAATCCATGCCAGGGTCTTGTCCTATTATTAATAGACATGCCCACAATGGCAGACATTGCAGTTCCAGCAAGATACTACCATAGTTTGAATGTGAATAAGACATTGGCCGACACACGAGAAGCATCACTTCCATTCCCATAAAAGAAGACCCTTGGTTGGTGGCGGTAAATGTGTCATAGGGTAGAGCAGAAGAAATTTGTGTCCAAACAACATCCATAGATTTATTGCAAAAAAGAAAATGTTACTGACTGTGAAAGTGCTGAAGACAGGAAATTGAATCACAAACACAAATCATTTCTGAGTTTCAGAAAAGTTTGAAAGTTGTCTCCATAAAATTTACCTCAAAGATGGGTAAGACGAGGAAAAAATGGAAAAATATGTGTGTTCATGTATTGGTCCAGAGTATTTATTTCAAAAGAGCCCAAAACCCAACAGTGAATATTTTGAACACTTATTATTATGAATAATTTATTCATTCAACAAACATTTATTATATTGGGAAAGGACATAAGCAAGACACAGCTTCCATACCAAAGCAGCTCAGAAATGGTAGAGGATGACTTATATCCTAGAATAATAATATTTACAACACTATAATGTTGTAAAGGCTGTGGGCTGCAAAGGAAGCAATTAATTGCCATATAGTGGTACCCTGCAAGTTTTACATGAAGTAGAAGCACCTGAAATGCATCCTGAGGGTTTTTACAGGGGTGTCAGGGCAAAGAGAGAGAGAAAGAGCAATCCAGCGAAGGGAATCAGAGATGCAAAAACAGGAAGACACATTCAGAAATCAATGAGTCGAGATGCGCGATGAACAGTGGAAGGTAGGGACTAGAGCAGTTTCTTACTGTCAACGCTACTGATATTTGGGGCTCTAAAATTCTCTGCTTGGGGTGCTATCTTGTGTATTGTAAGATTTTCAGCATCCGAGCCTCCATCCACTGGATGCCAACAGCATAAGCACACATACACACTCCCGCTGTAGCCATCAAAAATGTTTCCAGACATCACCAAATATCCCCTGGGAGACAAAATTACCCTCCACTGAGAACCACTGAACTAGAAACATTAACAGACAAGACTGGGGAAGGACTTGAAGGTCCCGCTGTAAGTTTAGATATCACAGTGTCATGAACGTTGTTTATTAAGCCAAGTATAGAGATCGTTTTTATATTTTAGGATGATCAATCCATAATTCGGTGGATGGATGGAGCATAGGGAGACTTAGGACAGGAAAATGACTCCTGCTGGCTGGTTCAGACAAGGTGTGATGAACCAAAGTCGTTGCAGCAGGAATAAAAAGGGAACTTTACTTCCTTTTTTTAGGAAGTAAAAGGAACCTGAAAGGGGAGATACTATAATCACAAAAGTGGTTTTCCCAGGGTGAGCCTTATCCATTGCACTCTGGATGTGCTGACCCCTGCGATTTCCCCAAATGTGGGAAACTCGAATGCATAATTTGTAGTATTGGGGGACTGTGTTCAAGCCCCCCCTCAAAAAACAAAAAGAGAAACTTTGACTAGAGGGATTCAATAACAGAATGCACAGAATTGGAGAAAAGAGGATGAGGACTTAAACAACCACCATGATTATATACCCAAGGAGAGCTGTCCTATAAGCATATGCAAGCTAGCAAACTGAAGTTTGTGTTTATATTATCTAAAAATAGAATATTTAGCTCTGGCTGGTGTGGCTCGGTTGGAGCATTGTTCCTTAAACAAAAGATCACAAGTACAATTCCTGGTCAGAGAACATGCCTGGGTTGCAGGTTCGATCCCCTCCTGGGGCACATGTGGAAGGCAACCGATTGATGTTTCTCTCACAGTGATGTTTCTTTCTCTCTCTCTCCCTCCCTCCCTCTCTCTCTCTCTCTCTCTCTCTCGCTTTCCCCCTTCCCTCTCTCCCTCTTTCCTCTCTCTCTCTAAAATCAATAAGCATGTCCTCAGGTTAAGATAAATAAATAAATAAATAAATAAATAAATAAATAAATGAAACTACGATGTTTAGCACACTGTATAAGCAACCATACAGTCATTCCACAAACATTTGCTAAGTGCCTACCACATACCAGGTCCTGAAATTTAAAACTAAAAACAATCACACTCATGCCAGGCATGGTACTACTAAGCATTTGACATGAATTATCTCAATAAACCAAGAGAAAAGTATAAATTTTATCCCCATTTAAAGAGGAGAAACCTGCTTTTTATAAAAGTTAAGTAACTTATTAGTAAATACCACAGCCAGGATTCAAACCAGGGTTTGTTTCTCTTCAAAGCCCACAAATTTAACAGTACTCTATACAATTTTCTTCCAAAGGTCCTAGAAAAAAAAGAACACCCCTTAGTCCTGGTTTACAAGGCCAGCATCAGCAGAGGGAGTGGGAAGGGAGAGGAGAGGAGCCAAACAGAGCACAGTTGCAGAAAGGAGCATTAAAATGTCTTAGCTTTTATGACACTTACTCATTTAAAAGGCACATATTCATACACATTATAATAGCATTCGATCCTCTCCATGATACTGTGCACTCAGAGCTTTGACCTTAATAACTATTAATTATGCCAGCTCCATGTTAATGCCTGTTTTATTTTTGTTTCTGCTGCTTCTTAAACTACACTTCTATTCTGCTGTTAAAACGTCTTACAGAAGGGACCTGCCTCTTGGACCAGCCCAAGGGCTGCCTGGGGGGCCCCCACAGGTCACTGGAAGAAGAAGACTAAGCCACCCCATGAAAAGCTCTGTGTCCCACTCCAAAAGTGGCCCTGAGGCCCTATGGCAAGATGCCACTACCCAGAGACCAGCAAGACAGGAATGTTGTGTCTTTTAAAACAAGATCGAAAACCTGTCCATGGGGCTCCGCGCCCTGCTCCTGCAAAGTCCTTCACAATCTTGTCCCCCATCACCTACCCAGCCCCTCCTGAAACCACCCATCCCTCTTCTAGGTCTTGAGTTTTCCTGATGTACTATATCTCCTGAAGGAGGAACTTCAGGCTTTGCATATTTGCTGTGCCTAGCCCCCTCCAGCCCCTCCCGCTGCCCCCAGCCTCTTCTCCTATCCCCCTCCACCAACCTGTCAGGCCCAAGGTTATACATCACCTCCTCCAGGCTGTCTTCCCCACTGCTCAAGCAAGGCTGGAACTCTGCTCTGTGCTCCTAGAGAACACTGTGTTTACCCTCACGGCAGCACTTACCACACTGTTTTATCACTGCCTAGTTATTTGTGTGTCTCCTCCACTAGAAAAGGGGTCAGCGAATGGCAGCTGGGCCAACCTGGTTTTGGTAAATAAAATTATATGGGACGTGGCCACACCCACTCTTTTACATATTTCTAAGACTGCTTTGGCCCTACAACAGCAGAACTGAATAGCGGCCACAGAGACCATATGGTCTGCAAAACCTAAAGTATTTATTGTGCGGTCCTTTGCAGGAAAAGATTGCTGACCATTGCACTAGACTGTGAGCTCTCTAAGGGCAAGAACCTTGTCTTCTTCATCAGTGTATTGCCTTCAGTATCTAGTGCCAAGCTTGGAAGAAAGAGAAAGCTTAATGCATATTTGATGAATGGATGAATGGGTAAATGTTGAATACATTTAAGTGTCAAGTTCAAGTGACAATTTGACAAAGCTAGCACAAAAGAGACACCTTTGGCATGGAAGTTCCAAACTCTAAGAAACAATCTGAAACAAAATCAGCTTAGAAACAGGCACACAACCCTGGCCTCTCAACAAATGAGTAACTGATAGCTAGTTCTCACTTGTAGATGCCACACAGAGATAGGTTTGATTAAGGTAACTTCCTGCTATGAGCTTCTATGATTTTTTTCCTGAATGGTTTTTTTTTTCCTCCAATGTTTTGAATAAGAACAATCAGTATTGAATTAAACCTGAATTTCATCAGTCTAGAAATTTGAGTTGAATAATTCAGACTTTTTTTTTTTTTTTTTTTTGATGCCTGGAAGGAAGGGGAAAGGGAGTAGAGCTTGTATTATCTTTAAAGAATAAGCATGGCCTCAAATTGACAGCACCCCCAAAAATAAACCCTCATCCCACTCATCCAGCCAATACGCTAAAACTCCTCTTCCTGGGTCCAGTCCATATGTCATTGCCTCCTTGAAGTCTTCTCTGATCCACCTCCTTAAACAATCTCTCCACTTCCAAACTCAAATAGCATTTTGCCCCTCCCTATAGTACAATCACTTCTCAGAATTGCTTACATATCTGTTCACAGCATTGGGACTTTGAGCTTCCTGAACATTCCTTCTCCTCTACATTCTCAGGTACATAGTAGGTGCTCAACAAATGCTTATGAAATGGTCAAAAGAATAAATGAATAAGGCAGAAAGGGAAAGAGACAGTGGATGAACAAAATGAGTGGACTAGTGGGTATGTGAATACATGAAAATGAACAAATAGGTAGGTGGATGGATGGAAGAATGGATGAATGGACAGAAAGATTTGATTGAGTTGGGTTGGGTTGAAGTGACCAGTTGAAGTTATAAAGAAAGTGAATGACACCCTCAGCACTCTCAGTAGGAGGTATCCTACAGAGGACTATCCACACATCTACCCCACCCCTACACTTCAGGCTTCTCTCCCCCAGCTCTAATGGTTCCAAGCCCAGAGTGTTTCTTCCTGGCCCTTTCACTTCATCTCCATTATTTCCTCATTCTTCTTCTCTAGAAGCTGCCCCATATCTCCCTGGCTCACCAAGTCACCTTTGCCCAAGAATCCGACAGGGCAAAGGGGACTTTGTTCATGGGAAGCAAGCAGATGGCTAGCTTCCAGCCCCCGAGGAGGACTGGAGGGAGGCCACCTGCTTACCCATGATGGGTCTAATTAGAGCAGATGCTTTTCTCGGTGACCTACAAAGCTTGCTTCTCTCCCAACCCTCCACTGGAGCAAAACAGTAGAGCCACGATGGAAAGTGAGCTTTCTCTGGGACAAGGTTGCAGGTGTCTAACGCTAAAGTTCCTCCCTTGTCCTCTAATCATCTTTGAAATCTAAACTCAACTACCCAAAGAGGCAGCCCCCCTTTCTCCGGAGTAACCCCTGACATCCCAGGACTCTGGGGAACACAGATTAAAAACCTTTGCTCTGGCTAGAGAGCACCACTCAGAAGAAAGGAAGACCGTGGACCAGGGAGGGGAAGTGGCTACCCTGGGGTCGCCCTGTAAATCAGTAGGAGCTGGGAGCTAGAGCCAAGAGCTCCTCATTCACAGTCTAATACTTGTTACTACTACATCACCTTCACATGTCAAACTCCAAACTTCACTTCACAAACTCCCAACTCCTGTGGATGCCCCTGGATGAAAGTCAACACCATGTCTAAAAGAGGTGCCCCATTTCAAGTTCATTTAGCATTCAGCATCGGTTGGACCTGATTAGAGTTCTTATTAGAATGCTGAAATCATGTTTATATCCAGGCTTTTGTAATTCAGTATCAGGTGGACATTAGTCAATAGGGGCATAAAAGAAATTGTAAGCAAAGTAACAGAAAGGAAAGTTCTTCCTACACACACCACACCCATGTGCCCACACTCACATCTTTCTTTCATTAGCTTTAATTAGGTTGACCCAGATTGATGTGGAAAAATTTCCATACCCTGGATGAATTTCTTTTTTTATGATTGTGGAGATCCTGAGATTTTTCAGAGAATGGGACTCTAGAGATAAATCAAGTGACTCAGTAGCTTCAGGGCTCCTCCAGCAATGGCAGGTAGACAAAGATCTCGATTAAAACAGAGACATCAGCCAAAGCCAGGATTGTTGAGTCAAACAAACTTGCACTTTGGATCCCATTCCTACCCCTCTCTGGCTGAAGTACTTCGGGTGACTCACCTTCCCTGAGCCTTCACTTGCAGCCTGCACAATGCCCCGTGCCACAGTTCACTCTTTGCCAAATAGCCAGGAGAGTATTCCAAAACATAACTCAGTCGAGGCACCTCTCTGATTAAAAGCCTCAACATATTCCTGTTTAACTTTGAATAAAACCCATACTCCATACATAATGTGCTCAACAAGGAACTCCATGACCTGACTTTGCTTTTTATGATTGTATGTTGGGACTGCATTTGGCTACATGTAACAGAAACGAGTATATTTGCACATCTAAATAGCGATTATTTTTCTCGTATGACAAGAAGTACAGAAGTGGTCCAGAGAAACTCCAAAACACCCTTGAAGACCGATGTCCTTCTATCTTCCTGTTCTGCCATCCTCAGAAAATAGGAAGCCCCATGACCACAATACGGCTGCTCCAAACCCAGCCTTTGTGTCAAAGCACCAGTCAAGAAAAGGGAAAGAAGCAAGGAGAAAGGGCACGTGCCAGTTGGATCTGTCCCTTTTTACCAGGAAAGGGATACCTTTTCTTTAGATTGCTACTTACAAATCATTGGCCAGCAGCCTGGGAAGCCAAGTCTTCTGAGATTGGTACTTTGCCTCCTGAATGAAATCAGGGTTTTATCAATAAGGAAGAAAAGGAGGGTAAATATTGAG